GAAGGGGCAATGTAGGATCTAAAAGCGAGAAATAAAAACAAACTCACATGAGGGATGCAATTCCATCCGGAGACCCTGTATCCATCGTATTCCGTCCGCTCTATGATATTCAAACGCGTGGAAGATGCCCGGCGGCATGAAGAGGCATATGCGGCCGGATGTCGAAGACGTACTTACCCGGTCGCAATGCAGGACAGGCCTATGCGGACGCCTAATGTACAGACAACTGCAATGTTATAGATATGCATCTGATACGGATGCAGTGCAACATAGACAGTTATTTACCTATAACTCGCTCTACCTTAGCTCCTCGCCATCAGTGCACGCGAGACACATGGACACAGAATATTTACAGTAGACTGCACTGGCTAGACATATATCAGAAGCTGCCAGCAAGATATCAATAGTAATCAGCCAGGACGAAGAGCTTGCGTAGTCGACGAGAGCAGGTTCGAATATGCTGTGACCCAGCCGTGATGCAGCATGACCATGAATTCGGACAGAATCCGGACGGCGCTGTGGCTGTCGCTCTCGTCCACGACGTGCCTCTGGAATTCTGGTGTCTAGTATCGCGGCGTACATGTCTCTTTGGCCTTCAGATTGCTCTAAGTCTAACAACGTCTTCCAAATGACTCTGCGATGACTTGGGAGCTGGCTTACGAGGTAGGATAGCGATGATGGACTGGAGCCCCGATAACAGTGGTATGCTACTGCAGCAATGATGCTGTAGCTTTCCTCTGCTTCTGTAAGTATCCGATTATTTAGTATCTTCCCATTGTTTGAATATTTGCCTATGTCATTGTTCATGTAACGGTTGTTTGACTGTTTATTTGCTTGCGATCGACCAGTCCGAACCCTCTCTACTGAAGCTATTGTATTAGCATCGCTGACCTACTATTACCATCGTGGTTGTCTTTTGACTCCCTCCTGGCGCTGCTCGCGGCTGGGACAGGGTTGGGACCGCCTTCCAACCCTAGCCGATCCCTGTCCTCTAACCGCGCTGCACTACATCAAGTATCGCTTTTATCACGGGTAAGTGCGTTAACGCAATCGGTATGCATCCTCGATGCTTATCCATCATTTTACAGGTTTTGTACCGCTTCTTCCGTCCTCTGTCTAGCTTTCTTCCGGGTGGTTCTGCCAATGCAGCCCGCTTGAAAGGACTGTCACTTGGCAATCTCCTCATGCTGAACTAGGATACGACTATTGTGCTGATGTGCTTGTGAGTATCCTACTGTGGCTGGTTCTGCTACTGCTGTCATGCATTCAGCAGTGTTCATATTGGGATCTTGGTGAATGTTTGCATATCTGGACATCATCTATGCCCACAAATGTTCTGGAATGCGATGCAATGCATAGGAGCAATATGCTATGAATTTATCGTATCTTTCCGAGGCTTTATACGGTGCGATCGGCCGCTGCCATTGAGCACAGTGAGCGCGACATTCCTGACGGCGATGACGTTCGATCGGAGCGTGCAAGTGGCGGCGCGTACATGTCAAATCCATCAAACGAATTTTGTGTATTTAATGAGATTTATTCCATATTTTTACGACTACATACAAATGCTACAGCCATGCTCATCGTCGGCGACGACGACGAGAGGCCTAAAGCGGGCGGCGACAACACGCCGGGCGCCGACGCTGGCGTTGTCACCTGACCCGTGGCGGTACGCCCTAGGGTTGGGGTCTGCTACCAGACTTCTACCCGGACCGCTGCCGGAAGCGGCAAGGGCATGGTGGTCGACGGGGAAGACAGCGAGGACGGGGTGTCGAGCAGAGTAGCGGACGGCCTTATTATACTAGCGTAGGCGGTGACGTGTACTGTATGTAGACCGATGCTCGAGCGTTGAAGTCAAGGGGGACGAGGTGGGGTACCCAGGGGGGGCGTTCAGGTGGGGTGGCAAAATAAGGTTTTCAAGACCCCTTGGTCTCGCGTCTTGGGGCGTAGTCCCAAGTCTAAGGAATCTCGCTTTTGGTGTCACTCGGGTGCTCTGGAGAGCGAGCAGTTGAACGTAGAACCACTGCCGGAGAACAACATGTACGTCAAGAAAGCTCATTTTGAGCGGCCACATTTCGGCCGGCCTGACGGCCGCCTCAATATGGCAGGAGACTCAATTTATGTCCAGCAGGTAAGTAGCTACCCCCGAGGTCCGCATTGAGGGATACAGTACATGATCTCCTCAGAGCGGAGCATACCACCACCAAATGACCCCTAGAGGACGGATGAAAGAGGGTACGAAACCCCTCAGTACAAATGGGGGGATAATACCCGAAGGATATAAATAAAGTCATTCTAAAACGAGGTAAATAGCCCCTGTCCAACGAAAAGCCACGTGTTGCCACTGAAGCCAGCACTGTACTGATAACCAATTCCCAAGGGAATCGGAACAACGAGTAAGTATGCATACGGTTGCATCTATTCGCGTCCTTATATGTCCGCGGGGAGGTCTAACCCTTCGGCTTGATTAGTTTATGTTCATATCTTTAGTTGAGGCCCATCAGTATCGGTTGGCAGCTCGAACATGATGCGGACGACATGGAAGTAACCCGATCATGGGCTGCGAGTGCAGGTAAGATTTAAACAACACCTGCGCTCTAATCCAAGGTCTGTCCGCTTCGCACTGAACTTGACGTACTTCTCTGGTACTTGAGATCATCTTACTAAGAGCCCCACCTCATGGGAAGAAGTCTTGTTTTGCTGTGTGACACTCAAATTATTCTGCACTAACTTTACCACATGCTCGTGCTCGACATGTCTGTGTTGCCGTTGTCGCTTTAACAGTACGAGTTAGTGGCCCAGCTTGCCACAAATTGGCCACAAATCTGGAGATAGGTGGCGGTGCTATCTCCTTCGGACTCCGATTGGTCGACGCGTACCGGTCCGAGACGCGTTCAAAGCCGCGCGCTTCCTGAATCTTAGCTCTCGTTCCAGGTCGTTTGATTCAGCATTGCACCTGGTAACCTAAAGATGTATTCCGAAGACTCCCTGGATATTACAATCAGACGGGATGACCCACACTTGATGTCGGAATCTCCTCTGTTCCCTTCGCAATCTTCCAATACCGGGCCTGGCGGGGACGACCTTTCTCTGTCCGAACTGTCCCTGAACACCAAACCTGCCGCGCCACGGAAACGGTTCAGTTTATTTGCTCAGCCACCAGAGGAAGACTCGGTGGATCAAGACGACGAGGATAATGTTGAGGGCGAAGAGGAAGACGGTGAAGAGGCGGAGAAGCGGCGGAAGAGTGCTGCGCGGACGAGGGACGAGAAGCTTCAGCACGATCTGTTCCTTCTACGAAAGCTGAACTCGGCATTCTCTGTCTACAATGAGGCACTGCGAGAGGCCAAGACGAGCACCGAGGTGTGTCGTTTATTCTACCATCCAGTAACGCGCTTCGTATAGCCACCGTCCAGACAGTGTCCGCCCAGTTACAACAGACTGATGCGCTGCTGGATAAATACGTAAACATCTTATCGAAGTCTCACTCGGTTGCTGGCTTGATCTTTGACGAGAAATGGCACGGTGCAGAGGTGGTATGTCCATCTTCCTTCCGAGTCACCACTTTACATTAGCGCTTACGTGCCATCCATCTAGGACCAGGAAGAACTGGAGCGGGAGTTAGAAGAGGCGGAAGCTAGAGCTCGGCAGGAGGAGGAAGAGCGCGCACGTGCGGAGCAGTTAGAGCGTGAACGGCTCGAAAGGGAAGAACAGGAGCGGAAAGAACGTCAAGAGAGGGCGAGGCTAGAGCAAGAGAAGCGGGAACTAGCCGCGGCCTCGAGAGGGAGAGTAACTGGAGTGAGGGGGACCCGCGCTTCCATGCGAGGGGCGCGAGCGTCTTCACGTGCAGGCGAGTCGAAGTTGCTGTCTTCAGAGGATTGTGTCGCTAATAACACGTTCTACTCAGCCTCGACATCTGGTGCTCCTGGTCCCAGGTCAGCAAGTGGAACTGGCCAAACCGGGATTCCTCAGGGAGTGTCTCGATCGAGTTCTTCGCTCTCCCGAGGATCAGTAAAGAATAGAGGGAGATGGAGCTAAGTCGTAGTATGTGAGATACCCTGGTTGTCGGATGGTGGCACTGTATCGATATTTTTGCCTGCTGTATCACATTCCTTCTCCGTGCTCTATATACCACTGCTATGTATGGTTGTTGTAGGAGTTGAGTGAATTAACTCATAGCCTGGGATGCTAAAGGATGGCGAGCTAAAAATAGATCTTGATCGACAAGTACTAAGAATAGCACGCGGTCCATAATTTCTTGCAGTCATTTACGACTTGCACAAGGCCACTTGCAATCAACAGTACAATGCCCAAAGCCTCCGCCGCAAAACGCAAGCGCGACCATGAATCGGACGTCTCTGACTGGGATATATCCTCGGGGTCTAATGCTGACTCGGACGGCGAAATCGACATTTCGTCTGCACTGGTCGGAAAGAAACCCAAACTTGCGGCCCCGAAGCAGGATGAAGAGGGTGTACCAGAAGACGAGGATGATGATGAGCACCTGCAGGATATTATTCGGGAATCTATAGCGAAGCGCGACACCAAGGGGGGCACGGAAGTGCTGAAGAAGGTGAAGGGCAAGAATAAGATGGTCAAAGGCGAAGTCGGGGGAGGGAGTTTCCAGAGCATGGGTGCGTGCTTTTGGGGAAGAGTTCCTTAAAGGCCAGCCGCTAACGTCGTCTTCAGGGTTACATCCTTGGCTATTGAGGTCTCTGACGCTACAAGGGTACCGCACTCCAACACCCATTCAGCGACTGGCGATCCCGGCCCTGTTGTCCAACCCGCCTCGTGATCTAGTAGGTATGGCTCGTACAGGCTCTGGGAAGTCATTAGCGTATATGGTACCTCTCGTTCAACGGCTCGGTGGTCGTCACTCGACAGCGTTTGGCGCGCGCGCTCTGATTCTCTTGCCTGCTCGAGAGTTGGCGTTGCAAGTTCTCAAAGTGGGAAAGGAGTTGGCTAGAGGGTGGCATGCTGGAGAAGGTGATCACGCTGGAGAGAAGAATACCGACGATGGCAAGAAGGGCCAGGGTCTGCGATGGGGCCTAGTAGTAGGCGGTGAAGGGATGGACGAGCAGTTCGAAATGATCACGAATAACCCTGACGTGTACGTCGCAGAATATATTCCTCGTGTATATCAGCTGACAACCACTAACAAGAATTATTGCTACTCCCGGTCGACTGCTGCATCTCATTGTCGAGATGAACTTGGACCTCAAATCTGTGCAATATGTGGTGTTTGACGAAGCCGATCGTCTATTCGAGATGGGCTTTGAAACCGCTCTGACCGAGATTCTGCATCGTCTGCCAACAACGAGGCAAACTCTTCTTTTTTCCGCGACTCTCCCAAAGTCACTAGTGGAGTTCGCCAAGGCCGGTCTACAGAATCCCAAGCTTGTCCGCTTGGACGCGGAAACGAAGATCAGCACCGATCTTCGCATGGCCTTCTTCTCCGTCAAGCAAGCCGAAAAGGACGCCAGTCTGTTTTTCCTTCTGCGGAATGTCATCGGTGTCCCCCTCGGGAGCTCCAAGAGGGAAGAGGAATCCCCCGATAAGAAGGGCAAAGGAAAAGCCAAGTATGACCATGTAACAGGCCCGCATCAAACCCTCATATTCGCGGCGACGAAGCACCATGTCGAATACCTGACACAGCTGTTGTCAACTGCCGGGTACTCCGTCTCGCAGATCTACGGCTCATTGGATCAGACCGCCCGTACGCATCAAATGGATCAATTCCGGCGGGGACTGACAAACATCCTGGTCGTCACCGATGTTGCTGCAAGAGGTATCGATATCCCTGTCCTGGAGAATGTCGTGAACTACGATTTCCCGCAGGGGGCACGAGTGTTTGTCCACCGTGTAGGACGGACTGCTCGAGCAGGTCGCAGCGGCTGGGCGTGGTCATTCGTCACGAACACCGAACTACCTTATCTCTTGGATCTGCAACTCTTCCTGACACGCCCCATCAAGAAGGAACTTCCCCCAGGTTCCGGAGACGAAGCTTACACAGAGTCGCTCGTGCTCGGCACATTTGACAGGACCAAGCTGGACGAGGAAGTGGAGTTTGTGCGGTCCCTGGACGAGGAGAACCACAATTTACCCGCCCTCCGAGAGGTCATGCGGAAAGGCCACAAGATGTATGAGCGAAGCAAGGGCAAGGCGAGCCAAGCGAGCTACAAGCGGGCGAAGGAGATGATCAAGGACGGGACGAAGTGGGGGTTGGCGGGCTCCGAGGCCGGTATCCATCCTGTGCTCTTCAGAGGCAAGGAGAACGAGCAGCAGAGCCGGGACCAGGATCAGGCCAGGAAGGCATTGTTGCAAAAGGTCAATTCGTTTCGGCCTACGGAGACGGTGTTCGAGATCGGGTCGCGAGGGAAGACGGAGAGTGCGCAGCTTATGAAGGAAAGGCGGAAAGCGTTGGAGAAGGCTGCCAGTCGCGCCGTTGTGCCTATTACTCCGGTTGACTCGAGGGACTCTGATGCTGACGAGCCGGAGGCGGGATCTAGTGGCAAAGATGTGGTCATGGCCGACGAGGAAGAAATAGCTGTAAGTTCTGCATTATTCAATCTATGCTGTATTTGTCGCTCAAACCTATGCAGGCTGTTTTCGAAGTTTCAAGTAAGAAGAAAGGGAAGGAGAAAGCATCTAGTTTCCGAGACGAGGAATTCTACATGTCGCATTACCAGACCGGTGCCGAGACGGAGAAAGGGTGAGCAGCCTCCTCCTTATCTATTCTACATCGACTCAGTCATCTATTGCAGCTACTCCCTACGAGACGGCGCGTCCTTCGTCGAGCAAGCGCGCAACGCCACGTTCGACCTCACCAACGACGAAGGTCTCGCCGCGCAGAAGCGCATGCAGCTCACGTGGGACAAGAAGAAAAAGAAGTTCATCAAAGGCGCAGGCGAGGGCGCGGACAATGTGAAGCTCGTAAAGACCGAGAGCGGCGTGCGCCTGCCGGCTACGTACCGTAGCGGGCGCTTCGACGAGTGGAAGGCGAAGAGCAAGGTGCACCTGCCCCGGGTGGGTGAGGCTGAGCTTGAGACTGCGAGGAATAAGGGTAATTTCGGGGGGAGGCGGTTCAAGCATAATAAGGTGACTGCTGCGAAGCCGCTGGATAAGCTCAGCAAGGATTACGAGCGGAAGACACGGCAGCTGAATAAGAAAGGCGCGGGAGAGGAGGATGGACCCTCACCGAAGGGAGGGAAGAAAGGGTTTGCAGCGAGCAAAAGATACGGCGGCCAGACGGCGGGGCACGTCAAGAACGAGCTCAAGAACGCCGCGCAGATCCGGAAGGAGCGCAAGCTGTACGAGCAGAGGAAGGCCAAGAACGCGAGACCCAGTCGGCGGAAGGGGAGGCGGTAGTTTGTTGTTACCAATGCTCGCATGTACTCTATATACTGCTTCTGCTACTTGCGTTTTGTCGTGGAATACTCCCATCGTGCTCCGTCTCCCTGCACGATCTTTGCGCCCTCCTTCCCCGCTAAGAGGTCGACGCCTACACTTCTTAGGGCGTTCACGCACCACTCGGGGTACCCGGCGTCGCCGAAGTAGTTGTCGAAGAACTTGTGTAGGTAGTCCGGGAAGGTGCCCTGGAGGATGGCGTCGCGCGCGCCGCCCATTACTTGGGCTTGGAATGTTAGGTTGTGCATTGTGACAGCTGGGTGCGTAGGCGAGATTAAAAACAAGTCAAATGTTTGGTGTGAGCTAGACTGACCGTGAGCGGCGACGGTTTCGAGGGTGACTATGTGATGCAGCATGGCTCTGGTGGTTCCGCCCTTGCATGTCGGACAAGGGCAGTTCTCGTCTATCGGCACAAACTCTGTGGCATGTTTGCCCAACTCTGGTGCAAGGATCAGCGATTGTCGAGCTGGCTGCAGAATGGGATACTCTTACTTAGATTCATAGGTCCTTTGAAGGTGAGAGCCACGCCGAAACGCGCCGTACGTGTTGGGAACACACAGTCCGCCTGTTATTTGGTTGGTGGTCAGCGCTAGGTTGCTTGTTCGGATAAAGCTCACCATGTCGACGCCTAGTGCTGCGCATACGAGGAGATCTAACCGCCTGATTGTTTAGAAAGGTTGATGCACTGCAGGGAGCGTCTTACCTTCCGCAAACCCAACTCCCATGCAATATCGTGGCTCTGAAGAGAAAGGTATTTTCAGGACAAGCAACGACGGGATTCGCTGGGGACTCACTGTCTGCTGGGAGCTTATCTGCGCATTGCTTGACTCTGCCTTGCCTGTCAATTACTGGCTGGGTATTCGCATGGAAACGCACATTCTCCAAAATGTATCTGTCTCGGCATAATAAGCAATCCGAATATACTCCGAGCTTATTACCGACCTTTAGCTTCGCCCCCGCTCAACCCCCCAATCGCGTACCCCGCAACTCGGTCTTTTCGTTGTATCATCTCGTCGAGGCATTGATTTCGCAGTTCCGGATCAAGGCCGCCTTGGACGATCGCGAAGAGATTTTGGACGTCTGTTCTTCCTGATTTCTCGTGGTATTCTATGCAGCGGTCGAGCCACCGTACGGATCTGGCCATTGCTTCGGCGACGCGAGGACCTGTGGTTAAGCTGGATACTGAGACGGTATAGAATCAATCGTATGGAATAATATGGGTATGAATGTGGCCATACCAACGTCATCTAGCTGCATCATGATGTCTGCTCCGATGGCATGTTGTATCGAGATACTCTCCTCTGGCTGCAGGACATGAGCAGTGGATAATTTTCAGATATGCGAAGCCGTAACGCACCGTAAGCATAGTAGGTTCCCCAGTAAATGGGCTAGAGAACAACGCGCCCTCCTCCGTAATCTTCGTGAACTTGCTCAACGACACCAATTGGAATCCGCCACTGTCCTAGATAAGCCATCTGCATCTACGCAATCGATCTACGCGTATAATCCTCACAGTAAGCAGGTTATGCCGCCATCCTTGGAACTTGTGCGCGCCGCCTGCTTCTTGCAGGACCTTGGTGCCCGGGCGCAGGTTGAGGTGGTAGGTGTTGTTCAGGATGAGGGTGATGCCCAGGGATTCGACTTGCTGGGGGGTGAGGCCTTTGATGGCGGCCTGCGTGGCTACAGGCATGAAAGCGGGAAGAGCGGTAACTCCGTCTGCCGCGCATCGTTGTGTTATTGCGTGAGATATGGTCAAGGACAGGGAACATACGAGGGAGGGTCATGCGGGAGACTCTGGCTTTGGTCGTGTGACATGTGGCGAGGATCTCGAACTGAAGTGCCGGCATTTCTGCGGTGGGGGATAGTCCACGGCGCCCACGCCGTTGTCGAGGACGGCTGAATGGGAAAGGAATTCGTCGAGGGGCAGAGGAGTTAACGCCCGATGGGATCTGGGTGGCTATGCTATTCGAATGTCGATCTTCAAGCAGTGTATGTATTATCATAACTGCGAGTATATACATGTATCGGCTAATGTTCGGACAGCGCAATGATTAAATGGTTGCCTTTACCTGCTCGTACTATAGCGAGACGTCCGTCTAATAGATCTGAATGTCGCAGCGTGAACCCGACCTCCTCAACCCGCTTATTATTCACGTAAAACCCCTTCGACGACACCAACTGGCGGGCTGCAGCTGCAACGCACGCGTCAGACAAGTTTGTAAGACAGCAACAGGAGGACCACCTACACATCGACGGCACAAGGCGATGCTCATGGGCTAATCGCGCAAGCGGCTTTGCGAACAAATCAGATCCAGAAGAAAATACTAGACGGGGGTCTCCGCGCAGGGCAGCAATCACGTCTGCGGCTTTGATGCCAGTATAGTCCTTCGCGAATAAGGCTTTTGTGGCAGCGTGGGCTTGACGTAGGCCGTCGACTGTCACAAAGTGATAACGAGGTCAGTATGTGGCGAGAATGGCTAGGTAGTTACTCGCCCCCGTGGATCATTTCAGTGACCTCATCCGCGAGCAGATGCTGGGCTACCCGACGTTCGGGTGTATTCTAGGACAGCGGGCACTTAGTACATGTGTAAAGAGCGCGACAGCACTGCGTACTTTATGCTCGTTGAGCGAAGCGTCGATCGTCTCCATTGGGAGAAGAGTCAGCATTTTGAGCAGTTTTGGTACATCTTCGTCGGTCGTACGAGTGAAGAACTGGCAGTGATATAAATCATAAGTGCGCTTGAGGAGACGTTCCGCCGGTGCTCACCTGATAGAAATCAAATGGGCTCGTCATGGAGTCATCCAACCACACAGCGTTCCCCGCGCTCTTCCCAAACTTCTCCCCAGACGACGTAGTGAACAGCGGCGTCGTGAGACAAACCACCGCTTGGTCAGGCCCCGCGAGGCGGCCGATGAGATCTTGCCCCGCGAGGATGTTTCCCCACTGGTCGGAGCCGCCGATCTGGATTCGGCAGCCTCTTTTGCGGAATAGTGTATAGAAGTCGTAGGCTTGGAGAAGTTGGTAGGAGAACTCGGTGTAGGACATGCCTTCTTCAGATGAGAGACGAAGCTTGACACTTCAAAGCCCTTGCATATTAACCGTGCCATCCCAAGAAAGAGTGTTTGCGACAGTGGGACATACCTTTCTCTCCCTAGCATAGTATTCATTCTCGCATGGACCCCGACAGTGCGCAGAAACTCCAGCAAACTCAGGTCCCTAGTCCATTCGAGGTTATTGAGCACCTCCGGAGACCCAATCGTCGGCCCCTCTTGCTTCCACCTCCCCTCAGCATACTCCAGCCCTTTCCGAAAGAACACCCCCATACTATCCGCGAGCCTCCGCGCGTTCCCCTCGATCCGCTCATTCGCGAGACTATCCCTGTCCCTCGCTTTCGCCCGCCCCGACGGGTCGCCCACGAGCCCGGTGGCGCCGCCTATCTTAACGCACTTCACAAGAAAAGACGCGTGGCATAGGGAGGGGCACTCACGACGGGATGGACGGTGTGCCCGCGGACGTGGAAGTGCATGAGGCACATGAGGGGGAGGAGGTGCCCGACGTGCAGCGCGGGGGCGGTCGGGTCGATGCCCATGTACACGGTCTGCTTCTCTCTGAGCAGCTGGCCGAGAAGTTCAGGTCTGCCGCGCGTTTAGAGTGTTGGCGGGGACGAAGAACTGAGTGCTTACGAGGATATTTGGGAGACCAGCCCGCGACGCTTCACGTCTGTTAGGAGATCGACTTCCATGTGAAAACTCCTGAAATGAGGCAGCTTTGCAAGCCTTTTCCCAGCCCGCAGACGCGCCCCTCCATGGCGGAATACCTGCATATTATTAGCAGGCACAACCACTCAAACTCACTGGCAGACTGAAGCTGGTAGTGCTGCTCAATTCTTATTTCGTTCGTCCGTTCGTCTGTTCGTTCGATTGAGCGCGTCCAAAAGAGTGAGGAAGCAATGATGGCCGGTGATCCGGGACCACGGTCATGTGATGTGCTCACCGGTCGCGGCAAGGCATCGAGAATTTTCGTGGCTAGTTATATGGACGAAATCCGTCGACGTAGATTACATGCCACATCATTCTCCTCATAGCGATTCTGAGATGTATGGACCTGGTGCCCAGGCTGAGTATTGACCCAATCGGGGCTCTTATCATGCTTGTGCATATATCTCGAAAAAGCCTCAGGAAATAAATGTGCCGGCCACCAACGGAAAACATATCACATGACCGTGGTCCCGGATCACCGGCCATCATTGCTTCCTCACTCTTTTGGACGCGCTCAATCGAACGAACGGACGAACGGACGAACGAAATAAGAATTGAGCAGCACTGGTGGCTGCAAAACCAAGATCGGATCGGGAGGGCTACTAGTACAGCTCGGCGCTTGCCGGCAATTGGGCCTCATGCCAACCTCAGTGCGCATGCGTCCTCTATCTTCCTCTACTGGGCCCTATGACTGTACTTTCTCTGCATTCTGCAGCCATACGTGGGGCGCTGGGAGCTCTGTCCCAAGCTTTTCTGATACCATTGCTAACCGAGACGGTCACTTTACAGTGGTTCTTGAAGTCTTCAGGTTGGGGCGACCAATGAGATCAGGTCTTGTGCAGCGGAACAGCGTGCCTCCTTCCGCAGTCCGAAGCACTTCAAGCAGGTTTATTTGTCCGAAATTCAAATAGACCGCAGTGACTCTATCCTATTGTCTTTATAACTGGAGAGCTGAACATACAGCCCTTCCGCAAGTCACGCCGTCGCCATGATCAGAGCCGCAGATTTCTACCGCGATTACCAGTACGCTCTCGAGCACGACTTTGAGAAGGATGGTCAGCCCCCGTCATGGGCGGCTGGCGGACCTCAGCACTGGGGGTCCGAGAAAGCGAGGGTACACTTTGACCGAGAGGTCACCAAGATCGCGCTCAGCAAGGACGACAGCAAGCTCGTGGTCTGCCTCACAAAGGAGGTTAGGATATACGATGCTGGCTCGCTGGACCTGCTCCGGACAATTCATTGTCCCCACCCACCAAGTGCTTATTTGAGCGCGACGGGGGATGTCCTCGGGATAGAAATGGACATCAGGGAGGCGATGCGGATGAACCATGTTATCACACTTGTCGAACTCGGCGACGACACGCCAAATGCGCTTATCCCAGCGGACGTCATACAGGCGGCTGCTCGCTCCGCTGCCAGCGCTGCACTAGATGTTCTATCGCAGCACCCGACGAATTGGTCTACAGAGGATATCGAGTCGACAGACCTTGTCCAGAAAATATCGGATGTTCTGGGCACTGCGTCTGCAGTGCGCGAGGAGAATCGAGGGCGGTTCTGGGACGGCAGCTTCACTTCTTGGGGCTACCCGTTCAACCAGGACGGGTCGTCCTTATTTTATGTGAAACCTGACCGGAGGACCATAGGAGTCGTCGACGTGCACGCGAGCCTAACAAGCGGGCTGACGGAGCGCTTCAACCTCGTTGGCCATGGCGATGCCGTCATGTGGGTCGGGCAGAGTCCCGACGGCCAAGTGCTGGCGACTTCGTCTTGGGATAAGACGGTGCGTCTGTGGAGTCCGGAGGATGGGTCTCCTGTGAAGATCTTGCAGGGCAGCACAGGCCAAAGCTGGACTGCGTGTTTCTCTCGGGACAGCCAATTTATTGCAGCAGGGTCGGGAGATAAGCACGTGCGCATCTGGAAAATAGCAACCGGAGAGCTCGTACATACGCTCGGTGGCCACACTGGGTGGATCAGGAGTCTGCAGTTCAATGCGGAGGGCAAGTATTTGGTTGCAGGAGGCGAGGGCGGGGCTGTCAAGGTTTACGACGTAGCCACCGGCGAGACCGTCCAATCTTGGCAGCTCAAGGCCGACAGTCGTACCGGCACGTTCCTGGAAATGAACCAAGTCGATTGGAAAGGCGAGCGGATATTCATCAAAGCCCCGGACGGACGCATCGTCGTGTATGACGTCCAGCAACACTGCAAGTGGGAGCTCGCGCCCGATGTTCAGTATTCGAGAGGGTTCCGTTATGGCAATATGGTTGCAGCTGAAAGCGGAAGGAGAGTTTATTCCGCAGATTTTGATCAGTCCGTCCGTGCTTGGGAATTGGATTGAGGTCATAATCCTATCTTACCTCAAGTCCTTAACATATCATTTCTGGTGATGTGCAAGGCAGACCTTTCTTCCGTGGACTGCCGGCACTGATGGGATGCTATTCCAGCCTGCCACTGCGGCTCTGTAATAATATATGATTTGTATGCTACCGGACATAGGTCTTCCCCATTGACTGAATCGCGTGGTCTTCAAGCGCTGGAACCCTGACGGGATGCCCTGAGACACAAATCTATCAGCGGTTGAACCAAGCATCGGTGCACGAGTGCCTGGATGATCGCGCAGCTGCAGATCCATCGAGTCATCCCGACTGCGCTTTCCCGGCATCTGCATGTCACGGCCACTTTCGACGGACGTACATAAGGACCCCTGATAATAGGTATCAAGGCTTTGTGGAAACGCGGACAAATTCAGCCAATTTAGACCCCATCAGGCCTCATTTTTCGCGGACAGAAGGACCCAAAAACGGGAGCATGTCTGATTTTTTTCGCGGACATGGGCACCACGCGCTATGAATGCCTTATGCTTGAGCGGACACTGGTAGGCTTATGGTGGAGGGGTTACCACTTCACCCGGAAGTGTGTAGTCGATTTTCTGGACGCTAGGTTCGATCCTCAGCGTAGGCATGTGTTTTTAAACTTTTTCTCTAAATGATGGATGTGGTCATTGTGGGTCCCCATCCCATGTCGTAGTAGAATATGTCTATCCAGCATTTATTGAGTTCTTGTAGTTCACATACTAAAACCATAATCATACATGGAATGACAGGCTACTCTGCACTACTACACAGATTGAATTATCAACGTCAGCCACCCGGCCGAAACTGGCATACATCCGTCCATCACCCCACCCACACTTCATGGATAGCTGCGAGACCTCCGGCTCACACACTGTATGGGATCCAGAGGAATGGATAGGGCACGGGAAGACCTACCCAGCTGATGACCTGCCCGAAGCGGTCTCTTTGGCTCGAGATGTGTTCTTACGAGGTATTCCCGATGGACAGATTCTGAGTGAAGATAGACGAACATTGCGGTTATGTGATGCCGCGCTGCGTCTATTTAATGAGTTCCATCTCGAATCAGAGATGGCGAAGTTAGCTTCAGCAGTGGAAGAACTGGCGAAACTCCGCCGCAAACGCAAGGCGGTGAGCGGTGCGGATATGGTTTCTGACGGTGAATAGAGTGGTGTTGTAAATATACATTACTAAAAGAGCAAAATTGATACATTTCAATGCCTTATCCTACAGCGCGGACAAAGGTCCTGTAAGCAGAGCCCTGATCAGAATCGCGGACATTTTCGGCCAAAATCCGCTCAGGCCACATTTTTCGCGGACAAAACGGCCCAAAATCCGGAAATTTGGCGCGGACAAACCGGCCGGATTCTCGGGATTTAAAATAAAGCCTTGATACCCATTATCAGGGGTCCTCGTACATACCCCGGGCATAGCTGCCCGTCTAGTAGATGGTTATTGTACACCTAGCGCTGGGATACGTACATACTGCGGATTTTGTGTTCAGTTCCATGATCATATGTCCTGCAGGATTAGAAACTTACGATACCTGCCGACTGATTGATTGGCCTTGCGCGGCCCGCCCGATGCGGCCATCTCTGATAGTGGTAAGTATATAAGCATTTAACACTATATTCCACATGCACATGCCTAGGAATTCGAACGTGGGGAGAGGGAATATGGTGAGCATATTATTAATAGGTTTCGGTGGATATGTTGCGTAGTTCTCTAAATTCGACACCACGCACGAGCTCGAGGAAGGTCGCGAATGTACAGTCTGTCCATTATTGGGTTTTCCTGGCTGTTATTCGCCCCCATTTGCTCACATAACATGAGAACTGTTCGCGCCACCTCGCAAGATATCCGATACCGTAACACACCTGAGGTCGGAGAATTCTGCCACTCGACTTTCTTCGAATATCCCCTTATATGCCATTGACCGACCGGTGCTGCGTCGAAACGCAAATACCGGAAGCAACGAAGAGACAAGGGTGTCCATCAAATGATCTCTTTGACGTTCGCAGTCTAACTTTACAGTGCTTTGCATAAAAGTCCGGAAACCGCGATTCGCGAAATCTTGTTTGTGCCAGCCAAACAAACCTATATGGGGTAGTCGATCACCGTAGCGCGGGCTGTGGACTGGTTGGCGGGACGCTTCGACATCCATGTATGAGGGTCGTTCTTGGGGGATTTTGACCTCTGCGTGCTCGATATCCTGAAGAGATACAGATCTGAACGTTATATAGCCTTGAGACGGGCATTTGTGTCCCAGGAGTGATATAGGCTGACTCGAGGACCGTCGCGCCCTCGGTCAGGTGTTACCCTATAAGGTATTGTTTGGCTGGGACAAACAGAAACGCGCGAAACGCAGTTTCCGGACTTTTATTAGGCTCGATACCAGCCACTTCGCAATTCAAGCTCCGCTCGTAATACTCGCTACACTGCGAAGCGGCTGGGAACTACGGTCGCCCTTTTGGCGGGATGCGCGTGACACGCGCCAACTATGAGTGGGACTTCGTGATTTGAGAGCCTCATAACTCAGAAAAATCATGCCTTGGGAGATTTACACCATTGTAGGTTTTGAAGGCCATAGATTCATTTGACATAGGTCAAATTTCGATGAATTTGGACTGACTCAAGGAGAAAATCCTCTTTTCTCACCTATTCCAATCAACTCCATTCGCTTCAAAAACATCATTGAACAATGTGTGCCAGAGACGATTTTGTACGTCTGAGGGGGCAAATTTTTCTAAGTCGGAGTCACGCTTGGCGGGGAAAGTTGTGACCCCGCTATGTGACTGTCCGTTGTCACCAGTCCGTTCGCAAGCTCACGCCTTCCATCACTCCGAAACCAAAAAAGGAAGGCGTGTGCATTGCGT